GAAAAGATATTATGAATCGATTGGTTTAAGAGACCTCTAATATCTTATATAATATTCTGTTTACAAAATTTGGTTATCAACTATTACATTATAAGAAAATCCCTGTAACATTCTTGTAAGTTATATTTATTGTTGTTGATATGCAGGTGTTGTTTTTATGCTAGAGATTCATGATCATTCCTGTACCAGTTTATTATCTACATGGAAAATCAACAAAGATGTTTGCCTAAAGGGAGCAAGAGAGGATATCACTGTTTGTGTAAATGTGTGTTTACATTGAATGATACACATTCACACAAATGCTGCTACATTAAAGCTCTGAGCTTGCACTGAATTAAAATAAAGAGTGATTAAAGCTACTTCTTGCATAATAAAGCAGACCAAAACATGTTCAGCTTGCCTAATGTACCAATGTGGTGAGATGTTCATTGTTTAGGTAAATTACAGCAAACTAAGTATTTAAAGCTCCATTTCCTTCCTCCATTTCATTTTAAAGAGAAGGAAAATTAAAGAAATTGAGCAAGGAGAATTAGGACGGAGGCAAAGGACTCAGAACATAATGGCCTGTGCAGGAAGAGAAATTAAAATTCCTGAAAAATTCCAGGTGCCTTTATGAATGGAAGGCTTAATTATAACAAACTATATCTTGTTTAAATGTGCTGCCTAATATTAACATGGTAATTTAGAAAAAATTAAAAATGCTGTGTATTTCTGCATTCTGCTCTCTGGACTGAACAAACATTTTTTACACTCTCTAAAATGTATAGTCCAGTGGACAGAATAATGAATCTTTTTAGCCTATTTAAAAAAGAGTGTTGGTAATGTACCTATGAATTGTAATGTATCTTCTTCTTAGCTAGGCTACCCTGATTAAAAACAATGTTAAAGAGAAAACAATAATGTTTTATCATTGCTAGCACGTCATGACAATAGCAGATCTCTACAATGGAGTAATTGATGGAAGACATGGAACTGAATTACTAACTCCCATCATTCCTCAGTATGAATTATGCTATAATGTAAGGCTACTTGGAATTATAGTACAGCAATACTGAAAGGTCTACATGCTCACCTGTAGATTAAATCTACAGGATTACCTGTTATTCCTTACCTCTTCTTCAATTCTGCATGATTATTGTAATGAAGCACACATGAGGGCTCAGTGGTAAAAGATGCTGAGCTTGTGAGCTGGAAAGCTGACAGCCCACATTCAAAACTGAAGTGCCATGCAACAGGGTGAGCTCCCGTTCCTGCCTTCAGGAACAAAAAGATCAAAACATCTCCCCACCAGAAATCAATACCCAGATGGGCATAGATTAACATCAGGATTGACATCAGACCAACAGTCAAGAAATAAATACCCCAATCAATGAACTGCCAAACAAGAACAGTAAACAGCCTAAACAAAGAACCACCCAAGAACCAGTAACAGGGCAAGCTACTGGAATATAAATTGAGAGTAAACCCCTCTCCCCACTAGCATTGATGATGTGGTTTTCTGCAAGAAAACCACCAATGTCAGAGGGCACCAAGGAACCCTTGTTTCAACTCTGAGCTACAAACATTTTCCTCTATCAATAATAGATATTTCAGCCCTTCTGCTGTGCTGATGTCATCTGCTTCTGCTATCTAATGTTGAATATCAACAAGCCAGAAACCTGTCACAATTGAATCTCCCTGCTGATGAGGTGTTCTTTTCCAGGATGTGATGTCTGGCCAATTGGCTATGTCAGCCCTCTTATCACCCCAGGTAATCTAATGATCAGAGGCAGCACAATAGTGGTAATCACTAGTCATTCTCCAACATGCCAAATCTGGCATTTTAGAAATGCATGTGGAAAAGTAAGACCTTGCCTTTTAATCATATTTTGAAAGTGTATTTTGTATTAATTTAGCATAAGTTAGACCAGAGGTCCCCAAACTTTTCGGCACCAGGGACCGGTTCCATGGAAAGAGGTTTTTCCATGGACCAGAGGGGGCATGGTTTTGTGTGCTGCCTGCATCCCACAGATGGGGCTTTGCTTGTTTGTGCGGACCAGTTGCTGGCATGCCATGGTCTGGTACTGGCCCACGGACCGGGGGTTGGGGACCCCTAAGTTAGACTATTTCGAAAATTGATATTTTTTGGTCAGCCAAAAAGAGGTGCAGGGAAAATATTTCAACCAAAACCTTTGAAGATATCCAGCTGAAACTAAACGATGTCTTCTAAAGGATCTTCCATCCATCTCTTTGATTTTCCATTCCTCAAAATATGAAGCAGCCAGAAATGATGCTTCCCCATTAGAATCTAGGAAAGAATCTTTTTCTCATCAAATCTCAAAGTTTGCCCTCAGATTGCAAATACAGACTCATATCCTCTTTGAATCTCAATCTACCAATGAACTCAAGTCATGGTTGATAACATACAAGCCTATTTGGTTGCCACTGCCACCCTGAAAAATATGTTTGACTTGGTCTTAAGTACTTTGCATTTCTGCCACATTTTAGTTTTGGTCATGCAAAAGAAAGCCTGTTTCTTATTATGCTAGTCAAGGTCTTCTCATCTTCTTCAGATGAATAATATTTGCAAGGAAGGGACAAAGATAACATTTGCATAGAGGCAGCAAACAACATGAAGAAAACTTGAATGAATTCTTGATGGTCATGGGTCTTTGTCATGGTCCGTTTTGTAGGGAGCCTTTCCCATACCCATAATTCACCTCACATCATCATTAAAGCTTGCTGCAGACAAGGGAGACATCAATAAATGAAATCATTCTTTGAGGAGGAGCAGAACATGGGAATACACTGTAGAGTTTCCGCATTTGCAGTGTTTTCACCCTTCTGCCAGCAGTCCTATTTAATAGCCTTCAGAAATCTTTCTCCTTGGAGTGACATTCCATATACAAGGACCTGCCACCATAAGGAAATGCTTCTCTGCTAGGTATGCAGAGAAATACACTCTGGTGTTAAAAGCACCTGCTAATGTTGGATATAGATTTTTTTTTTTCCTGTCCCTGGAACTGAAAGTGAGAAAAACAGTCAAGTCAAGAGCTTTTGTGGTCTACTCCATACAAACTGGAATAAATAACTGTTACTTAAAGAGGTGGACATTTGAAGCTCCAAATAGTTGGAAGCAGTAAAAAAAAAATGAGATTCAGTGATGACCTTTATCAGCTTTGATGTCAGCTATAAATCAGACTGAAATTCTCATCAGCCTGCTGGACAGAATTCATTTGCAGACAAAGGCTGCTGCATTGCTTTCTGTCTTTGATTGAGGGACGCCCAGTGAAAATGAATACAGCTTCAATAACATGAATCATACATTTCAAATCACAAACAGAGAGCTATTATTCATTGATTCTGAAGACTTGAGATGATTACAGGACTTGGAGACTAGCAAAGGCTTATTGTGTTTTCTGTTGGGTCATGAAGCCAATCAATTTTGGCTTCTTTAAAGCAAGCCAATTTGCTCTTCATTAAATTTTAACTCTTTGCTGATGACGTGAATTGACTGTACCAGCAGAACCAACCAATCAATGCTGATTTAATTTTTTTTGCTTTTCACCTTATAAAGACAGGATAGGATTATGCATTATTAACCTCTCAAAGGCAATGAAATCTTTAGAAAAGGACTTTATTTCTCAGAATATAACAAAGGGGCATGGATTTTTTTCACTCCAAGAGACTGTCCTTAGGTGTAAATCCTGTATGTTATCTAAAGACAGCTTTCCTACCTTGGGCATTGTCCTGATATTTGTGAACTTCAACTCCCAGAAGTCCTGAGCCACCCACAGCTTTTGCTATGAATTCTGGGAGCTGAAATTCAAACATGTGGAGAATGCTGCGATTAGGGAAAGTATTTTAAAAAGTGAGCAGTGCTGAAGTCTCACGTGAGGCTAGGAATATTATTACACCATATGTACAAAATAATTAAACACAATATCTGAGCAGATTTAGGAGAGTTTTGATATCAGCCAGAACTAAAACCATGATGTATGTACTATCAGTTGTTCTGCAGGTTGCTTGCTTTTCTAACAATTTTTGTAGCATAGCTATACAATATGAAATTTCCCTTAAAATTGGTATCAGTTTAAAAGTACCTAGCCAACTCTGGTTTACAGTATCTCAAAATAACTTAAGTAGGGTTCAGGGATGGGAAAATACCAAGAAATCTCAGGGTTGCATACTTGACTGAGAAGTTGAAATAAATCTTGGAAGAAAGCAATTGCAGTCCCTTTGCAATCTCAAAGTACAGTAAATTACCTTAATGCCATTTATAGGTAGTCCTTGAGTTACGACCAGTTGCTTAGCAACCAATTAAGGTACAATGGACACAAAAATGTCCTGGATTTGAATTTTCATGGGATCACAATATTCATGGGTCACATATTTGGGACTCTTGGCACCTGGCCTGCATTTATGGCTGTTTGCAATGTTCCCCAGTCAAGTGATCACAATTTGTGACATTTTTTGCCAGAAACCAGTATTTTTCCAATTTCTAGGGGAAAAAACCCACCAGAAACAATCAATTCGCTTCATAATTTGGGCGTATGTGTTATTGGAAGTAGGTGATAATGATATATTTTAAAAATGTAGTATATACCTGATTTAAAATATCAAATCTACCCCTCTGTGACTCTGATGCTAACTGCAATCATGAGAATTGAAGATGTTTCTCTATTTTAGACATTATCCAGTGCCTTCTAAGCATAGGTTAGTTCTCTCTTTAGCATGAAGAGGGACTGGTCCTCTCAGAAGTAAAGGAAGCTATCATCCTAGTTCAGAAAAGTTATAATCAAAATTTTCTATTTTGTTTGGTAATTCCTTTTCCTAATATCCAAAAAAAAAATTCTCCTCTTCTGTTTTCTGATCCTCTTTGTTGTAAATGGCAAGTAATAAATGTAGACCTGTTAAGCTAGATGTTTTGCCAATAAGCTGTGGCCCTCTCTTAATTATCCTCTGGCCCATATGTGATAGATATAAATCACCCTCTTCTTCTGTTCTCTCTCCTCTTTTAGATACAGAATTCATTTATAGAGACCGGAATGGCTCAGTGATAGTGCACAATGTGGAAACAAACCATTCAACAATTTTAATAGAAAACAAAATAATTGTGAGTATCTTCTTGAATAGGTTACACAGTTGCACATCTGTCTGCCTCAGAGGTTAAGAAGGAACATGCCTTCAATTACTTGTACAGAAGTTGAATATTCTGATTGAAACACACTGAAAAATAAAAAAAACATATATTTTCATATATGTTTTACATTTGTGTGTGTTTGTATGTACACTGAGAGCTTAGACACTGAAGACAAATTCCTTGTGTGTCCAATCATTCTTAGTCAATGAAGTATTCTATTCTATTCTATTTTACAAAGTTGAAGCTAAGATTTGTGAATATTCTTAGCTAAGCACTTCCAGTAAACAATATATTTCCCTCTCTTTGTAAAATGGAGAGCCAGGATTCAAAGAGAATAGGCTAAGAAAAATCTTAAGTTATTTATTTTTTTAAAAAGGAATACATGCATCTCTTCCCACCTGTTTGTCTTTGTGTCATAAGTTTCTTTTGAAAACAGAGTCCAAGTGATATGTGTTTCTCACAGTTGCTGAACTCAGCCTAAACCCTCTTTCATTTCATTTCCCCACCAAAAGATCACTGGGGGGGATTATGATAAATTCTGCAAGAAATTCACTGGTATAGTGGTTAGAATGCAGTATTGTAGGCTGACTCTGCCCACTGCCAGCAGTTCGATCCTGATGGGGCTCAAGGTTGACTCAGCCTTCCATTCTTCAGAGGTCAGTAAAATGAGGACCTAGATTGTTGGGGGCAATATGCAAATAATATTGCAGGATCCAATCTGGGTCGGTCATTGGGACCAGAGGTCATTTGAGCTTTTGGACTCATACTGGAGCTCATCCTCAGGAAATTTCTCTCTACAGGAATGTGTGCAAATAATACTGATATTGTAAACCTCTCAGAGAATTATGTAAAGCACTATGGGTGGTATATAAGTCTATGTGCTATTGCTATTGCTACGTTATTTATAATTCAATTAGAAATGTAGAATGTCCCCAATTTTTTTTTTTTTGCGATATTTACATTACCATAGAGATCACGTAAGACAATGGTTCTCAACTTTGGGAACTTGAAGAGATGTTCAGCTCCCAGAATTCCACAGCCCCCATTTCCTTGCAGGGGAATTCTAGGAGCTGAAATCCACACATCTTATAGTTGCCAAGGTTGAGAAACATTAACATTGACCAGTAAGTCTCATCTTTGCTCAGTTCCAGAATCCAAAAATAAAGACTCCCTGAGGATGGCTCTTTAACTTCACTTGAACACATCCAGAAAGAGGAGGACCATAACCTTGCTGGATAATTGGTTCCATTATTAAACTGCTTTTTTATTAAGAATTGTTTGCTCACATTTAAATGGAATCCACCATCCTAGAAATTAAGATTCTTATTCTGTATCTTGCACTCTGAGATGATAAAGAAGCCATTTAATTGTATAAAACCTTCCTGGTCAAGCATTCTTAGATGTTTCTTACTGACTAAAAACACAAATTTTACATTCTTTTATTTAACTTCATAGTTAATTTTCTCTAGCTACCTATATTTTACACCTTTATCTCACACGTTGTGAGTTCTGTGCATTATCCATTATACTAAATGCAAAAATGTGAGCCTGTTTTTTTAAAATTTTGTTTTGGCTGACAGTTACAACCCCAAGGACTTTACATATAAAGCAATTATTAACTCTTATAAGACGGATCAAAATATAAAGCAGATATTTACAAGTTTTAGGAAACATACCAATACGTTGCGAATGTGGCAAGAGTTATGCAAGCGTAACTCTTTTTTAAATTATATTTTGTATTTTTATAGTGTTTTGTTTTTATTATATGCATATTTTTGTGTATTTTGTTTCTTTTTAATTCTGTAAGCCACCTAGAGTCATCTCAAAACGAGATGATTGGCAAATATATTAAATTAAATTAATATTAGAATTTATTTATTTGAGATGCTGGGTTTTGTTTTATTTTTCAGGTGTCTATAAAAGCTATTAAATATGAAGTTTCACCAGATAGAGAGTATGGACTTTTTGCCTATGACATTGTACCGGTAAGTAAGCAGACTGTATTTATTTTGATTTCAGTTTATGGTTTTCAGGCATTCCATCAGCCGAGGACCCGGGGTAGGGGCGGGGGGGTAGCGGTCATTATAAGGGAGAGCCTCCGTCCTAGGGAGACCACTGTGCCTCAGATAGACGGTGTGGAGTCCCTCCTTGTAAAATGGGGGCAAGGGGTTCAAGTGGGCTTGTTGATTGTATACCTGGCTCCCTGCTATGTATCAACGGCCC